GGTTTGTATACATAGTACAAACATGTGAAAATTATTTATATAAATAATTAATAATACTTGCATCTCTTTTACAAAAAGTAAAACAAAAAAGCAATAAAATTTGAATATCAAAATTTTGATTTACAAATAACACATCTGATTTACCATATGTGTGTACTACGTACAGCCACTTCACTTAGCCGTCATTGGACATTTAACTTGGTGTGTCTGAGGCTCAATGAAGGATCTTACACGAAAATCGCTCATTAATGAAAACAAAATTAAGTTCTTTACTTTACTCATAATATTTGAAACCCTGTTTTTGACTGAACTATATTTTGATACAATGACGAATACTTTTAGTATTTTGAAACATAGTAACATTTATTAGAGGAACCTTAAATATTGCCCGCTACCAAATTGTGGTCTGCAAGAAACACGTGGAAATTCTCAGATCCTTTGTATAACGTTTAACCTTTTTAAAATTGATGTGCATCAGATCGCAGGCGTTGTCATACTCAAAATGTATTACTGATACTAGGAGTTATATCGTATTTCTGAGATAAGGCTCATAAATCACAATAAACACAACAAATCGACTTACCAGCTCCTACTTTCACTTTAGCCGAATATCGCATGACAGACCTCAGAAATAAATTACGCTGAGTGATTATAGTTTTTAATTTTCGTGCAGTATTCTTCAATATTATATGACATTGTCCTACATTTGTAGGATTAATATGCTTATTTGATAAAAGGTAATTAATAGCCTTACCTGCGAAAGAAATAACAGACGTAAAATTCAGTCGGAACTGCTAAAACTGGGCGCGTATTAATTTATCTGTCCCTTGTAAAATCAAAGACGGAGCATTCCCTGATATGACGTAAACATCAATGTTACTTTTATAATAAACAATATTAAACATTTAGATCGAATCATTCTAATAGCTGGAGATGTTTTACGAAATATCTCTCTAATTGCTTTGTGTAATCGGGGTACTAGAGAATCAGATTACAGAAATAGTCAGTTGGTTTCAATACCGGAATGGCAGCCCCTAGATTTCGCATGGCGGACATGCCTAGTTGATGAAAAAACAGACAGTTATGGAAAAAGTACGCTCAGAATTGCTAGGAACGAAACAAATAGTTGTACCCATGACGTTCAACTATCTGCACATATACAACAAATGTCATGTTATTGTTTTGTTAGACCTGTAGCTGTGCAGTCCTGCAAGTGTAATATGCACATTATTGCTGCATGACACTGCAAGTGACAATCAAACTGCATACATGTCAAGACAGCTTTCCCATGGAAGGTGTCAAAGGTCAGTTTTCAAGAGTAAGCAAGAAGTATTTATTAAGATATTGAGATTTTTATTTCATACGAGTTTCACTTGGATGAACACAAAACCAAACCCTTAAATTATAGACTACAATTTTTCTAAGTATAAAATCTGGTTTTACTGCAGGTTGCACAACAGTATTAAATTTCGCTATATATTCTTACCAAAAATGCACAACTTTGAGTAGGTGGTATTAATTGAAAACAAACTTTTGAGAAGTTTCCTTTTCAGATCTTGTAAAACAATTCTTTATAAAGATTTTAGTACCAAAAAATACATAGCCATCCAGCAAGGCACGCAAGTTTGTTTCGGTCGAAGTCGAGCAGGTGCTTGAAAATCAAGTCCAGGGCCTAATCACTCCCCACTCAAATACAGTATATAGAAAAGTCAGCACGCCCTTAATTATAATGAATCTAGTCAATACAGGAAGTTTACATATTGTTTTTCATCTCATAAAAAAATTCAGCTCCAGTCTCGTGTTAAAATGCCCGAATCGGAAGGGAAGATTCAGGAATTATTTTGCGTCAGCCATGATTTGACGTGAACCTCAAGTGAAATACTGTTATGACACCTGCAATAAAACTAAAAATTTTTGCTTGCAAGTATAATGCTATTTTCCCGATCTGTAATGAATATTCAATGTAATAAAGCAAGTTTCATAAAAATCCGTCTCAAGGTAGGAAAAATATTGGCGACACTCGGTGACAGGGGTGTTCGCGGTGAACACGGATTTCTAAAAATATGGCAAAAGTTGAACTGTATGTCATGATCTTGCGCCTTGAACTTTTGTTATTTTTTCGTCTCAAATTTTTAATTAATGCATGCTGATTCACATAAGGATTAAAAATTATTTAATATATGTTTGCTTTTTATAACAGGGCGAAAGAAGTAGTCTTTGTCATAAGGAAGGGGGGTGGGGTTAAAAAGAGCATTGAAATAATGCATATTATTGAAATACCATGGCGTTTTCTGCTTAATTATGATTGTTTTGCCTAAATAATTCTTTTTTCTAACCAGATTTCTGTATCTGTTACCACTGTGTTCCAAATTAACCGATATTTACACAAATTCAGAATTTTTATTTTGCTCCGGGTTTAGTCTAAATTCTTTAAATTTATAGAATTTGAAATTGTTTGTGAGTAAATAATGTTAACGAGTGTGATGGCAAGGTATTTGTTAAAGTGTTTTCTAATTTTCATGCATTTCTCTCAACCCGATACATCGAAATCAGGCCCTTGTGTGGTCAAGATAAATTATTTTAGAGGAAATCTGGACTAATTTTCTATGCTCCATTAAACGCGAACGGACAGCAATGACGGCCAAAAAATGCCATTATTTCTCATTTTCCGACTAAACTCACGAAATTAAACCTTAAATTATAGACTACAATTTTTCTAAGTATAAAATCTAGTTTTACTGCAATAAAACTTAAAATTTTTGCTTGCAAGTATAATGCTATTTTCCCGATCTGTAATGAATATTCAATGTAATAAAGCAAGTTTCATAAAAATCCGTCTCAAGGTAGGAAAAATATTGGCGACACTCGGTGACAGGGGTGTTCGCGGTGAACACGGATTTCTAAAAATATGGCAAAAGTTGAACTGTATGTCATGATCTTGCGCCTTGAACTTTTGTTATTTTTTCGTCTCAAATTTTTAATTAATGCATGCTGATTCACATAAGGATTAAAAATTATTTAATATATGTTTGCTTTTTATAACAGGGCGAAAGAAGTAGTCTTTGTCATAAGGAAGGGGGGTGGGGTTAAAAAGAGCATTGAAATAATGCATATTATTGAAATACCATGGCGTTTTCTGCTTAATTATGATTGTTTTGCCTAAATAATTCTTTTTTCTAACCAGATTTCTGTATCTGTTACCACTGTGTTCCAAATTAACCGATATTTACACAAATTCAGAATTTTTATTTTGCTCCGGGTTTAGTCTAAATTCTTTAAATTTATAGAATTTGAAATTGTTTGTGAGTAAATAATGTTAACGAGTGTGATGGCAAGGTATTTGTTAAAGTGTTTTCTAATTTTCATGCATTTCTCTCAACCCGATACATCGAAATCAGGCCCTTGTGTGGTCAAGATAAATTATTTTAGAGGAAATCTGGACTAATTTTCTATGCTCCATTAAACGCGAACGGACAGCAATGACGGCCAAAAAATGCCATTATTTCTCATTTTCCGACTAAACTCACGAAATTAAACCTTAAATTATAGACTACAATTTTTCTAAGTATAAAATCTAGTTTTACTGCAATAAAACTTAAAATTTTTGCTTGCAAGTATAATGCTATTTTCCCGATCTGTAATGAATATTCAATGTAATAAAGCAAGTTTCATAAAAATCCGTCTCAAGGTAGGAAAAATATTGGCGACACTCGGTGACAGGGGTGTTCGCGGTGAACACGGATTTCTAAAAATATGGCAAAAGTTGAACTGTATGTCATGATCTTGCGCCTTGAACTTTTGTTATTTTTTCGTCTCAAATTTTTAATTAATGCATGCTGATTCACATAAGGATTAAAAATTATTTAATATATGTTTGCTTTTTATAACAGGGCGAAAGAAGTAGTCTTTGTCATAAGGAAGGGGGGTGGGGTTAAAAAGAGCATTGAAATAATGCATATTATTGAAATACCATGGCGTTTTCTGCTTAATTATGATTGTTTTGCCTAAATAATTCTTTTTTCTAACCAGATTTCTGTATCTGTTACCACTGTGTTCCAAATTAACCGATATTTACACAAATTCAGAATTTTTATTTTGCTCCGGGTTTAGTCTAAATTCTTTAAATTTATAGAATTTGAAATTGTTTGTGAGTAAATAATGTTAACGAGTGTGATGGCAAGGTATTTGTTAAAGTGTTTTCTAATTTTCATGCATTTCTCTCAACCCGATACATCGAAATCAGGCCCTTGTGTGGTCAAGATAAATTATTTTAGAGGAAATCTGGACTAATTTTCTATGCTCCATTAAACGCGAACGGACAGCAATGACGGCCAAAAAATGCCATTATTTCTCATTTTCCGTCTAAACTCACGAAATTAAACCTTAAATTATAGACTACAATTTTTCTAAGTATAAAATCTGGTTTTACTGCAGGTTGCACAACAGTATTAAATTTCGCTATATATTCTTACCAAAAATGCACAACTTTGAATAGGTGGTATTAATTGAAAACAAACTTTTGAGAAGTTTCCTTTTCAGATCTTGTAAAACAATTCTTTATAAAGATTTTAGTACCAAAAAATACATAGCCATCCAGCAAGGCACGCAAGTTTGTTTCGGTCGAAGTCGAGCAGGTGCTTGAAAATCAAGTCCAGGGCCTAATCACTCCCCACTCAAATACAGTATATAGAAAAGTCAGCACGCCCTAAATTATAATGAATCTAGTCAATACAGGAAGTTTACATATTGTTTTTCATCTCATAAAAAAATTCAGCTCCAGTCTCGTGTTAAAATGCCCGAATCGGAAGGGAAGATTCAGGAATTATTTTGCGTCAGCCATGATTTGACGTGAACCTCAAGTGAAATACTATTATGACACCAGTACTGTCTGACGCCATGACGTCAGACAATAAAGTGATGGAAACAAATAGCTTCATTTGGAGGATGGATGATTTTCGATCAACTTTTGATACATGTAAGCTTAAACGACAACATAATACCTTGCGTGTATACTGGAACCTGATAACAGGTAGTGAGTTTTCCTTTCACTGTATTTTTAATGTTGATCAAGTCGTTATAAGTAGCTGAGTTTGTATATTTAGAGTGATCACCACAGGAACCAACAGTCTCCTTATAAGTAGTTATGTAACTCGTTCCAAGATCTAAAATATTATAAAGGAAAGTATTATTCTAGAACACAGAAACTCGAAACTCGTGGCTTAATACATTACACATATATAAGAAATTGACAAATATTGACTTACGGACGCCAAAAATTATATTATTCCCACTTCTTCTGATGATTCTTGCTGTTGTGACTGGTTCACTGTAATATGGCCCCACGATAAAGACATAATAGTTATTAGCATCTGCGCGATCTCCGCCAGCAGCCGTGAGCACGTAGTCACGGGCATGAATTAATCCCTTGTCTACATAATGATAGTTGCTAGACGTCTGTGAAATTCCTTCAATTGCTCCTTTGACGGCCTCGGAACTCGTATAAGAAGTGAGCCCAAACTCGGTTCTTGCTCCATTATCAAATACCACAAAACCTACCCTGACGCCATCTGAAGAAATAGGTAAATCCTCGACTAACTCTGCCACAAATCTTTTTATGAAACGCAGGTTAAAATTTTCAACAATGAAAACTATGTCGAGCTTGCAAGCTGAAAAGAAAGATCACATACGTGTGACTGAAAATGTCTAATTTGAAGCATTCATGTAGACTATACAACTAAGGTCTTTTGTATAAAAGTTTATTGCTCAAGCATGAAGTATACTGGATGGGAGTCCCAACCTCATTAATTATATCTTAGACTTGTCAATTACACAACAATATATCTGAGGTAATCAAAGGAAGATGTTGTCTATATATTTCAATGAAAAACTTTGCAGGTTGAAAAATTTGGTACATGTAGGAGATATTGAGATATTCAATATAACACTGTGTTACTCAGACATCCTAACCTACTGACGTAGGGCCAGGAAAAGTAGACGTAGGACAGACGGCGATTTTTGTTAGAACGGTGTTGAATTTTGTAGCCAAGTCTGCTGGGGAGGTAGCCTGAACGTATCTAGCAGTACTTCCAGCGGCCGATTTCAGATCATTGGCTAAAGACGTGGTTGGACCAATACCTGAAGTTAAAATTGTATCAATTAATAACACTGTATATAAATGGATACTTTGTATTAAGTTTCTTCCAAAGATCCCACAATGCTAATTCTACCCGTTTATAAAGGTATAGGATATGCGAACATGTATGTTAGGATTCGTATGCATAAGAATGCATCAGAAGTATTTAAAAACAGGAGTTTTATATAATTTTTTGCATATTTTTCAAAAGAAAATTTCCTTAAATCAAACAAGAGGCCCAAGGGCCTTAAGTATGCTACAATACAAAAATTTAGACGATCCATAGAGTATAAAATAAATGATAAAGTATAAATTCATGATAGAGGAAGCTTTGCTACACAAAACCAAGAAAAATAGGATGATCAGGATCAACAAAATTATTAGACTAGTATCTGTCTGTCCCCCATTTATCACTATCACCATGCAAACAACTAACAAAATCTCTATTTTTTTTTTTTACCTTTCACATTGGCCTCTCTTGGTCTTTAAAGAACATTTAATAAGTTATTTTTGTCTCATTTTTATTTATCAATCACTTACAAGTCTACCTGATCATTAAAACAATGAAAATACTTTCTGTATTATACGATAAAAATACCCTTGCTCGTTAAAACTTTTACTCTGTTTGTCTCCGATATGCCCAGGAACAGAGAAAATTTCCAAAGAAATAATTCATTTTCACTACAGATTCAACACAGCTCCAACCTAACACTATCAATAGAGAAACACCAGAACCTTTGATCCTGGGACCACAAGTTTTAAAAATTTTGTAAAAAGCAGCACTCTTGCTCATCGTGACTGTGCACTCTGTTTATCTGCTCAATACCCTGAAGCTGAAAAGAATCGTTTCAAAGAACTAATGCATTTTTACTATGTAATCTATATAGCCCCGCCCTAATACCAGAACTCCTGATCCAGGGGTCATGAAATTCACAAGTTTGGAAGAGGCAACCTTGCTCATTATCACTATATACTTACTTAGTTTGTTTAATAACCAGGAGCAGAAAAGAAGATTTTCAAGGAATTAATGCATTTTTACTGTGCAATCAATAGAGCTCCGCCCTAATACCAGAACCCTTGACTCAGGGGCCATGAAATTCACAATTTTGGAAGAGGCACCCTTCCTCATCATAACAATGTACTCAGTTAGTTTGTTTAATATCCAGGAGCAGAGATTTTCAAATAAATAATGCAGTTTCACTATATGATCTATATAGCCTCGCCCTAGCATCAGAACTCCTGACCCTGAGCAAACAAATTTCATAATTTTGGTAGGGGGCTCAATGCTCATTACAATCATGCCAACAGTTTGACTGGTTGATATCCAGGAGTAAGGAAGAAGATTTTTAAAGATTGCATTAACTTTGGTGGTTTAACCCCACCCTCAAACCCCAGGGGGCAGGGACACCATGAATTCTCAATATTTATTCCTCTTTACCCATAGATGTTATATGCAAAAATTGGTTGATACTGGTTCAGCGATTTTAGAGAAGAGGCTGAAGATTTTCAAATCTTAACGCTCGACGAACGACGACATATAAAAACAGATAGCAAAAGGTCGCCCGAGTGACTCAAGTGACCCAAAAAGTTGAAGAGAAAAAAGACTCTTCCTGTAAAACTCATAATAAAGATTACATTTGGTAAAGATTTCAGGTTCATAATCACTTTATTACCATGCTACCGAAACGACACGTAAACTGAAATATTTATGTTCCTTTTGCAAATACCAGCCAATTGAGCCACTTGAGGTACAGAAATAAACCACAGAACAGATGATATTACATGTAAAAGATCTGACTACAGTGACTACTCTGGCACAAATAAGGTCGGATAACAATTTATCCTTTTAAGAGAATGATGCATTTTGAACATGTTTTGAGTCTTTCCCCCGTTTTTCATTTTTCAAAGGAAATCATGTTGGGCAGTACCTGTCATGAAATACCGAAAATACAAATCAATCTTTATAAGAAATATAGCAAATCCTTAAAAAAAATAGCAAAAATATTTTCAACTGGCACTAATACGCTTCAGTAGTATTGAATTTTCAAATATTAAACAAAACGGAATAATATGTCGTATGTACGCGATACTTAGTCGTACGAACGACATAATAAGTCGTTATTAGGAGATAGTAAGTCGTACAAACGACATACAAAGACATAAATTTAGTCGTACGTACGACATAAGTCCAAATAACAAGATGTGCCGTTTTAACGATACTACATGTAGGTCTTATCAACGAGATAATGTCGTAATGAATAGATAATAAGTCGTTATAACGAGATACTAAGTCGTAAATTACGACATGTACTAAGTTGTACGTATGACAAAATTATTTGTTATAACGAGATTAACGCAACCCCTCCCCCCTGCCAAAACACACACAAAATAGATATTTCACGTTTGTTATCTTTCATTTTTATATAATATTTAAAATACTATACATGTATTTATTCTTTTTTTTCTGGTCAAAGAATTTCTGAGCTGGATTTTTTGAGCGGATATTGACACCACCACCTACCCCACCACCTCCCCGAAATTCCTGGAACGACCCTTGAATTCATTATTTATATGAATTCTTTAAACTTTTCTTTTATGATGCTTTGGATTTATGAAGCATAGAAATGCTTTGATTAGACCTCGTTTCTAGATGTTTCAGTTTTCAGTACATGAAGAGAAGAATCTGTTTTACATCATATAAAATCAACACCCATAGCATTGGTACATTGTACTAGAATTTTTTCTTGGTAAAATATAAATCTTCTGGGCTCCATTGCAAGGTAGATTCCTTTTTGCCATGGTAACAAATGATACAAAGTTTAATATTCTTTCCCATTTCAAATATATATGATCATTACCACACTGCTCAACGCGTTATCGGCTATTCGGTTGTTATCGGGCATTCGGTGGATAACAAATTTTGACAGGTTTGTAAATTGTTGCAAATAAACATTGTAATAATAGAAACAGAGAATGTTGATTGTGCTTTTGTGAACAAGAATGAATACAGATACAAAATAAAGCCCCAATATGTCTTATTATAGTATTTGCGAGTCTTGGGAAGACTTTAAAAGTCAAATTTGTTATATTTTGCAAGTTTTTGTCCGATTGGCGTTGCAGTATGTAGCCTCTTTCTTCAAAATCCTTATATTTACCTTATATTGGTTATTGTCCACAATGTGACATCGTCAGAATCTCGCAAAGATGCAATTAAAGGGTAAAAATTCTCGTTTTTTAACTTTTAGGATGAATGGTTCACTTTGTTATCGGAAATTTCGGTTTTTGTTATCGGAAACAAAGGTTGTCATAGGTTAGGAAAATGTGAAGAAACAACAGAAAACTTCATTAAATCTAAATATTTAAAATGGCAGGCACACAATTCGAATTTTTGGCTATCATTTGTCTCTTTTTAGAATACTTAACTTAAAAAAAATGAGTGTTTTTGGCATTTCTCATAATCACTGAAATGTATATGATCTTGACCTGTTCGAAAATATGGTATAAGTTTTAAAACCTCTGAATCATAAATCTCTATTGTAACTAAAATACAGATTCCAGATTTAATTATTGCGATTCTTACATTGCATTATTCGCAATATAAAAGACGCGCAATAATTGTTGAATTCACAGTAATTTATGCTTAGTTTTCTGTGATTGCCTTTCACAGTTACGCACTGTTCTTCGCTTTTGTCTCTGTTTTCCTTGCTTCGTCTTTATTCGTTGACTTTGCATTTTTGATCTACCCTTAACCACCTTTTGTTAGTACTAAGTACATACATGTTTTAGTTCGGTATCAAGCAATTAAAGAATCTAAACTCAAGGGTGGTTTAATGAATTTCCCAAAAGGGTGTTAAGCCAAATATGACCTAGAATTCTAACTTTTGAGGGAAAAAAGGAGATTGACTTCACTAGTTTTCAAAAAGAGTTACTGACGGAAGGAAATTATGAAGATAACGAACAGTAATAAAGCTCAAAAGTCTATTGAAACAATATAAATTTGGAACAGAGAAAACACGGACCTCTAAAAGCATCAGAGGCTGGTTTAGTGGGCAAGAAGGAATAAACACCCCTTGTCGATCGGTCACACCCACAGTGTGCTCTGTATCATTATCGGCCAAATAAAAAACCCGTAGATAATTCAATGTGTAGGTGGTGCTCATGCCTGGAGGGGGGGGGGGCGTCGGGGAGGTTCGAATCTCACCTGGAATTTGCAGAGTTATTGAATTTTTATACTCAAACAAATTAAAAAATCCCTTGGTACCCCCCCCCCTTCATTGAAAACGCGGATCACTGTTTGTAGAAAAAGTTAAACATATGAAGAAGTGAAGTGAATCGACCTGTCTCCCCCAAAGTATTTTTCACGTTTGGGAAATTTAACGTTTTTTAAATTTAATTTATAAAGAAATATTTCTTTGCGATATGCACCTCATTCTATTTCCTCTATTTTAAACCTTAAAATCAAACGGTTTGACATAAACAGTGTTATTGCTCTATATTGAACATAAAAACGTTTAGCCTTCTAGGCTCATTTGGGCACTTGAAGTGACGATGTTTTTCAAAAATGACATACTAGTATTAGATCGGAAGACGTGACTAACTAAAGCAACTAGATTTGTTATATACATGTCATATTTATAATGTTTAATGGAGAACAGAAAAATTATTGAACAGATAGGGAGTTAAATTATAAAATCATAATTATAATAATTATTCTTATTTGTATACATGTACGAGTATCAAAACAAAATAACAATGGAAAGCTGGAAAATTAAAAAAAAAAATACTTAAGGTAGTCCGATCCTCGGCAGTAATGTAATTGAAAATGCTCACAAATATATCCCTGAATTCACAAATTAATGTATATTTACCCACTGTATTTCTTCAAAGTTAATCATTCTAGTTTATCATATTACATAGGGAAAATAATCAAATCTCCAATATATTCAAAAGACGAATAGAAACATCAACTATGCATTTTCTAATTGAAAACTGATCAACAAATATATTTTAAGTTAAAACATAATAGGTATCCAGGCATTTGGGGGAAATTTGCATGTTTTTTTTTCAAAAAATACTTTTTTGGTTTTACATGTATAGGTCTTCTATTTTCTTCCAAAATTTACATGATACATAGTGTAAAAAGCTTGTACTATCATTACAAGAAATCACAAATCACTTCCAATTTCATATTATGCTAAAAAGCATTGGTGTTTAAGGTTAAACTCAAGAAAATCCTATTCATCTAACACTGTATTTATTTTTTACTTGTATAAGGAATAAATGTCAACCTTTTACATGACCCTTTCTAAGACTTCAAAAACCTCAAGTTATATTAAGATGCATAAAATGGAAATTGTTGCATGAATAGTTTTCAATACGTTATATTTCCATTAGTGAACTCTTCAAAATTAGAGGCGCGTTTGGTCGTCTGACAGGGACAGCATGGCGTTGCGGATAATACAAAACATGCCAATCTCAATCCAATTTTTAATGTTAAATGTATTTGTCATTCCAATTAAAGAATGGAAGAACTAAAAGACATATGTAAGAGAGCGAGAACCCTAAATTTATCATCCATTAATAAAAAATACGACATTTCCGAGGCATGTATACTGTATTTAGATGTAGCATACGATAAATAGATACATACGATCAACAATATAGATATAAATTGATATCGTTGCCATTCCTACTCTTGATGTATATAAAGTCCACAACAATAAAATATTTCATTTGCATTTTCTTAGGATTTGTTCATCGACATTCAACATACTGTTTACATGTTTACGTTACGTTTGTCCCTGAAATCCCGCGAGATTTGTACATTTACCGACTTTTTCACAAAAGAGCGCACTAAGAAGTATAACTCTTCCATAGTGGAAATAGAACGTATTTCAAACTTCATGTTGAAACTTTTTAAATTAAATAATAATTTTAAGAGTTACCCTTCATGGCTGAGGATTGCATATCCTTAAAACACATTACGTCTGGTATTTTCAAGGATTGACGGATTATAAATTACTTTTTTCCCAATCTATTTCTAAAGCTGAAAGAAACTTTTTAACCTGAGTCTCCGATAACGTACACCCGTAAAAACCGAATTATCCGGCAAAATCAACCTTGTTGACGATAACATGTTTTAACCTAACGAGACATTTTAGATGCCTGTTAACTAACCCTTCATTTGGATTTTTGATCTCAGTCTGCTTTCTCCAGGTATATGATTGTCCATAGAATAAATAAACCGTTTTGTTTTATAGAATAATCTGATTTTGACTTCTACAAAAGCTAAAATGTGATGAAATATTCCGAAATTTTAATAAAATATCATTTGAAAAAGCTGTATATCTTTAGAAAGAGAGTGATTTGGTTTGTTCTTTTTGCTGCTGAAAGTATAATCATTTATCTGCCTAAGATCACAAACTGTGTTTGCTGAAGTACGCAATTATCGTTGAATTAAGAAATTTAAAATCACCTATGTTTTCTAAACTTTACTTTCCTTGCACCGAATGCCCGATAACAACCGAATAGCCGATAACGCGTTGAGCAGTGTGATTACATGAATCACAATTGGACATTTTTTCAAAGAGAAAAGTGATATTCTCTCAGTTGAATCCGCTTTACCGGAAGACTAACACGTTAACTCTTAATAAGATATATCAGTTATTTGCTGAAAGATGTTGCCAGGGGTTTATTTCACACAATAATATTACATAATTATTACATTGTTAATTTTTTTTATCGCAATTTTATGACGAATTTTGAAATAACTTTTACAAATGTTGAAGCACATGTGCAAAAATAAACTTTCCTTGTATTGTTGCTATAGAAAATTTGCTGTTGTCACTAAAATAAACTAAAAAATTCACTTGTTTGCATAGAAGTCTTAGTTATATTTCATATAGTTTGAATTAGTTTTATTTCCGAAAAGACTAATACAAAATTACTGATAATATTTTACATATTCTGTTAATAAGAAACCTATAGACCTATCCAGGAAACTGGAAAGGGGGTGTTGTATACAGCAAAAATGTACACATGTATCAGAAATTCTTTAAGAAAAAAAAAATTAATTAAACAAATGTAAATGTAAGATTCCAAATGCGAAAAATCTATTTCGTTAGTGTCAGTGTGTATTGTGTGTATGAGGGTAATCTCGTTATTACGACTAATCATGATTTGACCAAGCAGTTGGCAATTTGCATAAACGCCGAGGGCATGCAAAAAAATTATCATCCAAGCCAATTGCTTGATCCTCATCAAGAAACCAAAAAATGACAGTTAATTATTCCTTATATTTACATTTTTCCTTAAATTCATGCGTTCGATCCAAGCCACGCCCACTAATCTCTCTAGCTCTCTATATGTCTCTCACTCCCACCCAGCATGTGATTTATTTAACTACGCCTTTCGATGAACCAATAGCTTTATCAAGAAATCAAGTTTTTATCATTTGTAGTTTTATCTCGGACGAAGAAATTTAAAATGTAAATATTTCGTTATAATGACATTATCTCGTAATAACGCTTATTATCTCTTAACTATGTGCGACATATTATCTCGTTATTACGACTTAGTATCTGGTTATAACGACTTATTATGGCGTATGTATGTCGTTTGTACTTCTTATCTCGTAATTACGACTAATTATGTCGTTCGTACAACTTAGTATCTGGTACGTTCAACATATTATCCCGTAATTATCTTTTTATGACTTAGTATCTCGTTCGTTCGACTGAGTATCTCATAGGTACGACATAGCAAAAATACGACATGGCAAAAAATGTTTTCAGCTGGCAGCAGTACGCTTCCGTACAATACTTTTTTGATTTTTTTTTTTAATTGTTTGATTGTTAAGTCACGGTAAATCAATAGTCATTGTGATTTTTTTGCCAGAGTAAAGTGTCAAAGCTTTTCATATATAGAAAAAGAAAGTGTCAAAGATTTCTGAAAAAAAATAATCACAATAAATAAGTAAAATCAAAGTGTCAACATTTTTCCCGTTCAAAAATCAATTTAGGTATAATTGGTGACTTCCATTAATTCCTAATTTTATTGTCATTTTCTGATATTAAAAGGTAATATTAGTAATTTATTCAGTTATTACTTCCAAATTATCATTATTGAGATGAAATTTAATGCGATATTGTTGCTTGTTTATTCAAAAGTATTTTGCAAAATTTCATGTATACTTTAAATTAAGGTGTAAAAGTAACATAATAAATCAAAGTACATGTATGGTTAATAAACGTACTACATTTTATAATAAACTATACAATCTACTGCTGTATTTTTCAAAGGTTTGATTAAATGATATCTGTAAATTATCTATGTCAGAACTTGTATTTATGATTTTTTTTTCAATTCTTTGACTTTCTATTCATATGATTAAATAAAAAAAATTATATTGTCTTTACAATTACCATCGTCTATGCATGCATAATCAACATAAGCATAGGTTTAAAAAGCAACTATGTGCATCTATAGAAAGCTACTGAATAAGAAAAGAATTATCTTGATTTAATATAGAAATACATAAAATTTCCATTTCTTACCAATTCCGAAAACCTGATTTTTTGCCACCTGTCTTATATTGAGTCCAATAGCTGCCCCGGGAGAGTGAGGAGTTGATTTACCAACAATAACAATGTATTTATATGCTTGATATCTGTTCCCATTTGACAATTTAACAAAATCATAAAATGCAACACGCAATGCCTCGGCGAGGTTAATTGTTGAAGAAGCACTTGGTATCGATAATGACGTAATAGCAGTGTCCAGTAATGCCGCCGTGGAATAGACGTTAAACTTGATATTCTGGTCCACAGCGTTGTCATAGGATATCACCCCAACTTGTATATTACTGGTTGAAATTTGCATTGTCCTCACCAAATCACCAATAACTGATACTAATTCTGAGTAAATAGAAGAGGTGTATGAGGAAGCCTCTATAATGAACAGGATGTCAATCTTGCAAGTTGAAACTGAAAAGGAAAATAAAACATTAAATCTAAATTCGTGTTAAAAGCCAAAATTATGATGCTTTCACTCAATTTAAGTAAGTATAAGACAAACAAGATAAATATTTGGATATTGACCAGAACAGACAAGTGGGTGTCCCGTCCAGAACTTTCCGTAACATGTACGCTGTGTGTTTCCAGCAAATTGTTTGTATCCTGAGTTACATGCATAGGTGCTGACGCCATTGCAGCCTGTAGAGCTTGTGGGAACGTTCACGTTACTGTTTAATTCATGGGTACACGCAACATCTTGAGGGAAAGAAGAAAACCAAAAGAAAATTTGATACATTCAAGGTATTTTAACATATTTTTAAAAATCTTTAATAATATCTATATATAAAAAAATATAAAGTTTCTATATTAACAATACACGTAAAAAATTATATATCCTCCAAAAGACGGGTAACGAGAAGCACATGACTTGTTGATCATTATAATTTTAATATTAATTCTTGTCTAGTACCAATTACAAGGAACATGGGTTATCGGAGCTTTCCAAAGCTGTAAAATTGCTTGGTAGCCGAAGCATGCGTAGAATATGATAAACTTAGAAAGTCTATAGGTAAAAAATCAGTATGATTATATTTTCATTTTTTAAATTTATCATTAACAAGTGCGTATGGTAGTAAGATGGTGTTAAGCTGTTACTATGATGCTGGTTATATATATATATATATATATATATATATATATATATATATATATATATATATATATATATATATATATATATATATATATATATATATATATTAAACCTATTGGGGTTATAAACATATAGGTGTTAGAACAGACATTTTATTTAAACATAAATTATTAAACATGTTTTTTTTTTCTTTATAGTTGGCTTACATTTTTCTCCCTACTGTTCTTGAGAATTTTTTTGAACAAAACTTAGTTCACTGCAAAAAACTTCAGTTTATAACATTTCTCAGATTCTACCACTTGGAGTTGCGACATGAAAAAAATCATCTCCTTCAGAACTACAGGGTATATGGATATAAGTTCATGTTAATTTTTCTGACTGTTCAAATCCGTACTGTTCTTAAAGTTTTTGAAAAAAAATTCTCATATTCATCGATATTTAAAACTTTCAGCCCGAATTTTGACTCCACCCTAGCGGGAAAGTGGGAAAAAAGTAGGGTGCTTTCTTTTATGTTTCCTGAAAAGCAGATCTTTAAATTAAACTTATATATGTATATCCTTCAAATGGATTATGGAACTTGATTTGAACAAAATGCAATCCTCTTTCGCTGTAGTATGTGCTAAGTTTAGTTGAAATTTGGTCATTTGTTCTACAAAAAGAAATCAAAGTGTAGAAGTTAATAGATAGACAGACGATCCAACAAATCGATACACGAAGAAATGTCGATCCGATTCATATGAAAAGGTACTTTCAGTGATTTCTTGTGAGCTAAAGCCTAAAAGAAAGACACAACATGCAACACGGAGGAGGTCCACTACTGACATAATTTGATCAGGAATGCTCTTTTGACTAATGTCTTTAAGTTTCTTATGCCTTAATACATACATCCCTGCTATTATGCTTTATATTAGTAAAGGATCCCAAATGCATATCTTACTTATATATTAAATAAACATGTTAAAATTCGGGTTGTTTCAATTTCTCCCGCTTCTATACTTACCGTTAGGGAACCTCCATTGACCTGAAGAACCCCATCCAGTTTTGATCAAAATGTACTTGACATCGTGTCTCGGGGAATGTGTACAACTCAATTTAACGTTACTACCGACCGACGTCCCGGTCCCCATTCGGATTGAAGTCCCAGACCACGATATCCAGAAAGTGTCGTACCAAGATTGGCTCAAAAGCGTTTGATAATGTTCATCACACTTAGATCCTCCATTAATCCTGAGTTCAGACTTAGTGTTGCTCCAGCCGGCAATGACGAATTCATAGGCTGAAGTAAGAGAGGAGCTATCCTGGGTACTCACCAACACGTGAAGGTCATTGTTAGCCTTGGCTCTAAAAGTAAAGGATGTCCTCCCCAAGGCAAGAAAACAGCTTGTTGATAACTTGTGATAGGTGTAATCATTTGGAGTAGATCTGCTGATTTCAGAGGATGCTGGTGAAAAAATAAGCCAAAACACATCATGTACAGATTGACAAATTAATCTCTCTCCAAACAGAAGGGAGAAAATACTGCTTACGTCGGTTATGTATTTTTTTTATCATGTGTGTCTTGGAAGTATGTTATGTAACTATTTACGTGCACATTACGTGATGGACTACAGTATCTTTGTTTGCTATATACATGTTCGAGTTTCTATTATTCTTTCATAAATAGATGAGATCCCAGATCAAGCGCGGCCAGGAATCGGAATTTTTTCCACTGCTGACTGATCAATTCGAATAAAATACATGTAACTTATACTTTCTACTGACAGTTTATTGAAAGTTTATAGCAAGAAGAAACTTTGTACCAAATTCCAAAGTAGGGAAGTCCCCTTCTTTCCTTCTTCTCCCTTTCTCTCTTTTTTAACTTGAAAAATATTAATTTCATTAATTGACGTTTTCTCTTTACGTGTTAGCATCTTTATATTTTGATACATTGTAATCATTGTACTGTTATTAAATATTAAACTTTGGGTACAGTTAATTTCCACTTCCCTCATAGATTTTAAAATAAAATGAATTTGTACGTTTAACTGGATTTTTTCAGCAAATTTTAAAGGTTAAGTTTAGCTTTTAACTTCCTTATGTATAGAAAAATTTACTGCTGGATCATTAGTACAACTTACGAAGAGTCTTTCGATATGTAAATATATTCACTATATTCATAATGTTATCAATTGCTTTACCGTTATTTCCCTGTCCATTTACAAAATAATTATTTTATTTTTTTTTTTACCTTTGGTTCGATGCCATCTGACATTCTAGAAATATCCGTTTAGATTCAGATCGGATATAAACGAAAGGGATTTCCATATTTTGTTTTTAATCGGTAATCAAAACTTATTTCTTCTACATCAGTTAAATTAGCTTTTGATTGAATAATATATTAACGACGTTTAATGAAATAAATAAACAATTGTTTGTTTTCAGTTTCATTAGAAATTGTCCGCCACTTAGATACGCCGACCATAACCACCACTTTACTCTCTTCTTTGCTATTTCATGGCTGTTTATCGAAAATTAAAGTAGACATTTAATTAAGTTTGCGATAATTACTATGAAAGTGAAATCTGAATATAGTTTATGGACATCACCTCATACCAAGCGTAATATCAGTGGAGTAAGTATGAAGTCTGGTGCAGGCGTTTCAGAGTTTATTTGCAAAATCTATTAATTTATAAGTTTAGATATTTAATGATCATCTGACGTTCTCACTGTTGAATTTTGTGACGTCTTTGCCTTTCGTATTGCTCCCTCTGTTGCAGTAATTTTTTCTTGACAAGCTACACGTAGAACACTGAGGCCTGTTCAACAGCACTAACGTTTGCGAGCGCGGACGTTCGCTCTGTTGAACAAGCCTCTGGTGTTCAATACTAATGTTTGAAATGTAATGTTGTGAAATATGTTTTGTTTACATGTCTTTAAAAAATCAAAGAAGTTATAGATCCTCATAGTCTTTTTGTAAGCTTAATCCGCCTGTAGGATTTAAGCATCACTGCAAGCAAGCAATGTTATTTTTGACGTGACTTTAGACACCCTGACCACGAAGCGGCATAAAATGTATCCCTCCTCGCCTTGAATCTTCTGTGCATGTTAAAAACAAATGATCTCGACTTAACTTCTCTCTCTCTCTCTCCATTTGAATATTTACTCGAGTTTTTTTTCCCTTTATGGTAAGAAGACAAATATACATACATCTTCTATACTATCATTTTTAACCGCTTATTATTTTAGCCAGGGATGGGGTAATTGAAAAAAAGTAATTAGCACTCTCTGCTTAAATTACGATAGGAAATGTCAAGAACTAAGCAAGAAAAGAAACCTTCCATAACTTATTTTATAATGTGTACTTTAATTTTGATTGATGTCTCTAAGAAACACAATATTTTTCTTTATTTTTTTAATTTTAAGAAAAACTCTTAAGGAGGGATTCTTGTCTGATTTCTGACTAAATGAAATATTCAAAGTATATTTGTTTATATATTAAAATGAAAAGGATTTTCAAAGATCATATTTTTCTTTCCTCTTCATAATTGTACAACTTTAAATAGAAATTGTAAACTGAGATTAAAATCAAGCAGGGGCAATATTTTTTCGCGGAACGACGGCGTATGAAAATATCTGTTTTTCTTCTTCTCAGAATTACTACAGAATTATGAATTTAGTTAAAAATTTAAACAATCCAAGATCTAAAACATTTTTCTGTTGTAACTTAAGTTAATAATGATAAACTAAAGTTTTAAAAGAAATACAAAATAAATATGATTTTCCAAACAATTAGAATCTTGTTGACTTTTGAAAACTTCCAATCTAAGTACAGATTCGAGCAAAAATTCACAAAAATTGGGGGTTTTTTCTTTTAATTTTTCCTTTTTGTATCATTTTGTATCTTTATATGGCTACCTTACCATATGTAAAAATAAAAAAATATTAAATACATGAGGCATTTCAAAATAACTTATATTACCCAAAAATTAAAGGAAAAAAGAAGAAATACGGATTAGCCAATATCTGTTTTAGTTAAAATAAATTATGCTAATTCAATGGTATTTTTGAGCTTTTAGACTGATATACCTTTAGATGGTAGATAGAATAAACGGATATGATAAGTACCTAACCATCATTGCAAATGGTCCTTCTTCTAATATTGTGTAGTTTCGGCTTAATCGTAAATGATCCTGATTGTTAATTATTTACAATTATATAAATGATCACTTAAGTACATTTTAAGTAAAGTACAATATTCATATACTTACAATAACAACCATATCTTAGACAACCCATTGATTGTGAGGGAGCCGTTCCACATCCTCCACCTGGCCTGACACAAGATCTATATCTTACAATGTTCTGAGTAGAGCAGTCACCGGGACATGACGACCATGACCCCCAGTTTCCCCATATAGCTGAAAGTATAAAATGTTCAGCGTATGTTAGAAGAATAATGGCTATTTCTAAGGAAGTTAGTCAAAGTTACACTGGTCTTAGAACAATGACCATTTTCTCTGTATATACATAAAAAACGTAAAAAAAAAAAAGACAAAATACTTGATGTTATACCTTCTTAATATAATAATTAAAAGATTTTTTTTAAAGTCCCGAAAGATCGATTGTCAATTTTCTTTTCATTGAAGGAAAAATGAAGAAAAGATAAAGAATAAAATATATTAAAATAATAACAACGTTGCTTATATTCGGTACCTGATTTTGTCTAATCAAGGACATACGCAACGTAGTCTTGACTTTTATTTACTTGTTCCAAAAGCTGAAGGGCCTCTCTTCGTCTTTTATTATACCTAATGTTGCTGTTCACTTTTTAAATTAAATTTTAAAGAAATATCGTATAAAATAATACTTTTGTTAATTTTTCTTTGAAAAACAATGATTTTCATCATTTGATATCTGTATAAAACCTCTGGTAATGTATGCTGATTTTTGTCTAAGAGCATATGCTGAAGACTCTTGGGTGATACAAGTATCACAGTTCACAGGAATATATTGAGACGAAGAAATGAATAGAAGGAACTACTCTTAACTGATAAAACGTCGGCTGATATGTCAAGTTGGAGGCCAAAGAATGTGTCTTCTTCACAAAGGCTTAATATTGTAGCAAATTTTCTGTCCGTCTTGTAGTACGCAGCGATTAGAGCGTCTGCTCTAAGAGTCGCGGAGTAAGGAGCTGATCCTAAATTACGTCGCGGTTTCGAATACACTTCGGGACGTGGAGACCGGTCCTTCATATGAGACCGTATAAACCGAGGTCCCATGTCGCAGTAGGTGCTGACACGAAAAAGATCCCTCACTACTCAATGGCCCTGAGTGCCGAGTATAGGTATAAATTTGCAGCTCTCCACTGGCAAGTGGTGACGTCTCCATATGAGAGAAAAATCTCAAGAGAGACGTTTAACAACAAACAAACACAAACAAATCTCATATATAATGGGAATCAAAATATTTGTTTTAGCTTACAATCATTATATTTATTCTGCTAGCATTAAATTTAAAATTTGTACTGTAAAAATAATTGATCATCGAAATCTGTCGCTGTACGTTGTATATATTGTTTCTTGTTAGTGTACCACGGACTGGTGGGGATACCATATTACAGTCTATTGTATAACCAGCAATATACTGTACACCTTTTTTTAAAACCCTGCTTCCCACTGTGTATAAATCCGACCGGATGTCATATTTAATCTGATCGGCTGTTCTTCTTTAAATTGATTTAGAAATAACGTATTGTTGTTTCAAAATTCTTTTACCTGGTGAGCTTGTAATAAAAAGATACACTGTACCACAGAGTCCGACACATCTGTTTCATGCATGTATTTGGATATTTTACTAGAAAAAAGGAAAAGTTAACGTTAAGGACATTTGCAAGGCAAGGATTTCCGGAGACAAAAGGTTTAATACTTAGGTTTTTTCACTTATAAAATAGTGATTGAGAGTGGCCTCCCGCGTAGAATTCTTCAAACCGCGAAAACCAATATAGCGTATATGACAGATCGAGGTAAAAACACCTATCCAAGAACCTTGCCAATGTCCTTAATGGTTATCTTACAACCAAGCTTTTATATAAACGTGATTCATGACTTTAACTTTTCAATCGTCAACTTCCCTTACTTATGCAGCAATA